CTAAATCCAACATTCTATCCACTATGCCAAGAGTGAGCTCTTTGAAGCCATCAAAATACTCAAGGATAATATAGTACTTCGCACATAATAGTTGTTTTAGCTCATTGGATTTAAAGCTGGAGGTGACTTTAAATATCAGGTAGTCTAACAGTTTCACTTTATAGGTGTTGATGCCTTTAGAGGTTAAGAGACCTAAGGTGACATAGTTTCAATTTCAAGAACATTGTGACATCTCTGGTTGGGAATTCCCTTTCCTGACATATATTTCAATCCCCCTCATGCTGCATTAGATATTTTCATGATATGCTATGGACCGAAAAAGTGAATTAGCTGGTGATCACTTCTTTTTTTTCTTACTTTTCAACCCCTGGAAGTCTGGCTTTGGACTTCATCACTTAAAGGAAACTACTTTCTCCAAGATTACTAATTTTGATGGCTTCAAAGAGCTCATTCTTGGCATAGTGGATAGAATGTTGGATTTAGAATCAGGAAGGCAAAGGTTCAAATCCTGCCTCTGATATTAACTATCTTTGTGACCATGGACAAATCACTGAACCTCTGTTTCCTCTTTTGTGAGATGAGGACAATAAAACCTAATTTTGCCTGACTCACAGAGTTATATTGAGACTCAAGTGATATATGCTTTTCCAAACTCAAGCTCTATATCTTGGTTGCTGTTATTATCATCTCATCCTTCTCTTTTTTCTTTTTTAAAAAAATGTTTTACTGATGTGTTTCGTTTTTACAAATTACTCCAATTTTATGAAAAGTCTCTTGCAACAAAGGAAAACAGGTGATTAAAACTAACAAGCAGTGACTTCATCTGAAAGCACATAAAGCATTTTACATCATCATCTCCCTAAAAAAATTAACAAAAATCTATTTCCTATTTGATTCCTGGAATCACAGAAAAATAAATTTCTTGCATAGTCAATCAAAACATTCTCATTCACAGACAAAAACAAATATATGTCTTATTAAATACCCTAAATCCATCACCTCTGTAATGAATATCATATTTCATTATTGGTCCTCTGGGATCATGAATGGTCATTATATTAATTATAGCTCCTACGGCTTTCAAAGTTGTTTGTCAAAGATTGCTTGTTTTCTTCCCATATTTTCATCAAGGATACCCTCAATGTGTGCATAGATCATTTTCATAAAATTTCTATAGAGAGGAAGTAGGCATCACAGTCATTACTGATATTTTCTTGGTTGCCTTCTCTTTTTGTAACATCATCCATGAACTTTTCTCTTCTTTTTAGAATCTTCTCTTCTTTGATATATCTTGAAAACTGGTTCCTAAGTTTCTTTAGGTCATTTGCTGAAGACTTCTTCTGTCAGTATTTTGGCAGGGCCAGATACTCTTCCCAATTTAGCTTTCCTGTGTGCCATTGTCCTTTCCTCATACAGCAGCCCAGTGGGTAATGAAGTACTAGAGTACAGATGTGGTGGATTCCCTGACATGCGTGATGAAACCACCCCATAGGAATTTAGCCAAGCATTCCATTTCATATCTGCTTTTTTTCTCTTTCCAGCTTCAACACATCTGAAAGCATTTTGCAAACTTTAAAGTGCCATGTATTATTCAATTATTGTTGTTCTTATTCCTCCACTTAAGTCCTACACTGATGCTTCACAGTGGCATGGAATTGAAAGTGGGCCCTTGTATAACAGAGGAATATAAATTCTGAGAGGTCCTACCAAACTATGAAGGCTTCAAGTATGGGCCCAGTGATAGACTTTATGTCTTTATTTTTCAGAAGACCAGCCTATGTTACAAAAACAGGCTGAAAGGTAATGAATATTTAGGTCACAGTGGCTATCCAACACTATCTCCTAAGTCACAGAAAGCTTTTAATTATGCATGTGTGATGTAATGTCCACCCTAACAAAATCATAAGTTTTCAAGACATTGCAGCATTATCTGTAAATGTTCTTGAGATAATCTTGTTCATTATCATTATTATTATTGACAATAATAATAGCTAGCATTTACATAGTGATTTAAGTTTTGCAAAGCAGCTTATAAATTTTAATCTCATTTTATCCTCATAATGACTCTGGGAGATAGGTGCTATTATTATCTCCATTTAACAGATGAGGAAACGCATATAAAAGTTAAATGACTTGCCCAGGATTAAACAGCTAATAAGTGTCTGAGGCTGAACTGGAACTCAAGTCTTCCTGACCCCACTTCCAACTATTTACATTCAGAATCCACTTAGTCCACTGTTCTGCCTTCTACACACTGATACTTCCATAATCTTCCATCATCATCATCCTTAATGTTGTACAAATGAACTAGTATCCTAAGACAATAGCCCTTTACCTGGCGAGTCTGTCATCATGCAAAAGGAGCTCAATTGTTTGCTATTTGAGGCTGTTTCTAGGCTGTCTGGGACTCTTAGTTGAGGAAACTATTTTACATAAGAGGCAACCATGGCTTAGAGTGTCAGAAATAGGAAGATCTAGACCCAAGTCTCATCTCTGACATATACTGGCTGTGTGACCTTGGGCAAGTCATTTGACTTCTCAGTGCTCAAGGGAACTCTCTAAGACTTAAGCTGCAGAGAAGGTTCTGACTTGAATTGGTAAAGGGGTTTTCTCATCTATAAGTTCCTTGTATCAATGAACCCATAGGTCTAATTCCTAGCTAATTCTTAGACTTCTCTAAAAAAATCAGAATTAATTTTATCAATTTACAATTTTTAGACTAAGTAGCTGATTTAAGTAGATCACACTGGAACTGTTATAACTGTACAGTGTCTCTTTCTAATCTTTAGCTTTTCCCCTAATTTGGTGTTACTTTTGACTTTTGCTCTCAATGATCAGTGATCTGATTACACACACACACACACACACAGAGCTGGTTCTGAAATAATTCCCATGTTAATAAGTTCTTATTTCCTGACCATGAAGAATAAGCAATTTAATTTCTTGCAATGTTGTTTTGTGGTACATGTAGTACCTTCTAATTCTCTTCTTGAAGAAAGTATTCATGATAAATGAAAATAAGACTTATGAGTAACCTCCAATCCTTGGGCCTTCTTTCATCTTTTTAATCCCAAACCACATTTCCCAACACATACTATCATCTTCCTCCCCTATGCCTACTTTTACATTGAAATCAATAGGTATCACATTACATGATGACTCAGTTTGTAAGTTCTTATCAAGTCCTTTGTAGAATTTCTCTACCTCTTTATCTTCTACAACAGATACTGGGACATAAGATGCAACTCTCTTCCTGGTGGTCCATTTGCTTTTACTCCTCATGATCAAGAAAGATAACCAAGTATCCTATGAAAAGGATGTTTCTTGTGGCCTATGATAAAACCAATTCTGCCTCTGTGCCCATCCCTGAAGAGAACCTGTGACTCATCCTTCCATTTAGGTGTAATCCATTTAGGTCTTCTCTTTTCACTTTAAAGCAAGAAAATCAAGTTCACTTTCTCCAGAAACTTATTAGTTCTTAAATAATTAAAGTACTCATTTAATGAATGCATGTTGCTGGTCTAAAAACTGTATAATTCTTATTATCCTTTTACCCTTCTCTCCAATATTCCATCATCATCACTGAATAAGAGGGAAGGGGCATGTGCATTACCTAGGGGATTTAGGAAACCAAGGACAGTTGTAAAAAAAAAGTTACCCTTCACTGATTAAATCAGAGTTTTGTAACCTGGAGCCAGCAGACCAACAGGCACATACTCAATTTCAGGGGAGTCTGTGAACTTGAATAGGGGAAAAAAATCAAATGTTTACATTCATTAGTATCTAACAATTTAATATTTCCTTCAATTGCTTAAAAACTTTATTTGGAGAAAAGGTCCACAGGCTTCTCCAGACTTGGAAAAGGATTCATAATACACACACACACACACACACACACACACACACACACACAGAGGTTAAGAATGCCTCAGGGTTTAATGGAGAACCTCAGAATGCCCCCAAATGAAGGCCATTGTATGGACAAAGAATTCATCACCAGTGGTAAAAACAACTGTCCTTGATTTTCCCTGTATTTCCTGAAAATGGCCCTCATAAAACAGACAGTCTGATGTAGCCCCACCTGGCCCTCAGTCTTCTCAGCCTCATCTTCTCACCATAAACTGATTAGCATAATCTACATGTTTTTGCTTAAATCTCTTAAAGCTCCAAGACATAAAAGTTTAACAAAGGAGGCCCTCCTCACTATGCCCGGGATGTATGTGTGTGTATTACAAAGTAAAGGATTGAGGGACTTTACCATTTGTAGGACCATGTTCCTTCTAAGCATTTGAGTCAAATAAAAAAACTTTCTCTACCCCTGTCTTACCCCTGCCCTTCCCTATCTCTCCTTCTGGTTGTAAACATATACCAACAACCTTACCTGCTCACCCTTACCTAGGAAGATCTCTTTTTTAAAAGAGGGGAGTCCTCTCACAGGGAACCTAGAAAAAGGGCTCACTTTCAATGTTTCCTTCCTAGGGCCAACCTTCCTAAATTACTCTTACCTGCCTGACAATGGCTTATTTACTCCAAGCTTGTCTACCTCCCAGGAAATGGGCTGATTTTAGCCAGGTGCATTTACCTCAGTCCCCAGCTCATGGCCCCTCCTAGCCAGCCTTGCATGACTCTTGTACATGCCCTAGCATGACACATCATTTGCTTCTCCTCCCACCTCATATTTACAAACCAGCTTTCTTCATTCTATCTCTTTTTCTTAGGAGTACAAGGGTTTCATAAGTTAGTAAGAAAGGAACTGTTGAGACTTGTCTACAAGTAGTAAAATAAAACATCAGGGTATGGGGGGGAAGAAAATGGCCAAGAATCTTCACACTTTTTATAAGTCCCTTCCCTTTTACTTTTACACAATCTGCCCACATAGGATAAGGAGAGATAACTTTTCTAAAGTCTTTATGTTTTATATGTGTGTGTGTGTGTGTGTGTGTGTATATATGTATACACACACATGCAGAGAGACAGTAAAATCTGAGTAGTCTCAGCAGTTACATGAACTCATTTTTATTGAAAAAGTTAACAAATTGATTTAGTGTTCCAAAGAAATCATACTTTGATCTTTTTTTATAACTAAGTATAGGCGGGAAACCTAATATACCTTTAAAAAAAGAGAAATGCCTATATTTAGTTTTTTTCACATCTTCTGATTATATTCACTTATTTTAGCATACTAAATAAGTCTAAATTGAGAAAGAGCATCCATTCATTCAAACCCACCAATATAGAGGAGATAATGTTTGGAGTGAGTACACTATACATATATTTGTATGCTTCATACAGCATATTTTCTAATGACCATTAAATACATACACGGAATAATACATCATTGATCTGAACTTCGAATTTACAATGGATGGCATATTAAGCAAATTTAAATTAACTAAGTTGCCAAATCCACTTCACTTAAATATCAAATAATATATTCAATGATACTCATTAAAAGAGTAACAGTGAAGCAAACTGACCCACACTTTTGAGCCCCCTACTGAATTTTATATTAAAACAGTATTCCCTTACAAACCTTGATACTTGAAGAATAAATTAAATTTATTAAGTATAACAAGGCCATCTTCATTTAGTTGTTATCAACCAATTTATGAACAAACATTTATTTTTAGTGTTACTGCTCACCATTGCCCTAGGAACTCTCAGGCACACACAAACATAGACTATCGCCCTCAATTTAATAGTCTTTCATGATAACAACACTGGAAATGTTATAAGTAGTGCATAATGAATAGCTAAATGCTTATAATTTTGAGTTATTCTCTTTTTTTGTTATTGAAAACTTTTGCCCAAAAAGAAAATGCACAGAACATGGAGTGGGTCATAAATCATTAAGGGTATAGCTATGTCTACATCTTCATCTGTATTTGCATATTCATTGGTGTATGTGTATGTGTGCATGTGTACATATGCATGTATGTGTGTGTGTGTGTGTGTGTATACAAACACCAGAAGCCTTCTTTTAATAACACTGGTTGCTTGAATTGGTTACAAACTATGCAATCACTGTAAAAAGAGAAAATTGAACCATGATTCAATGCCAATGGAGCTGTGATTTTATTAGTGTGGGTACTCCTACCTCTTATCTTATCAATATCCTCCCATAAATCCTCCAAAGTAGTTCTTCCTAAAAAATGGTAGCAGCTATACCTTTGACTTTTCGGCATTTAGCAGGTATTAGTACAAATTACGGTATAGAAATGTAAGGAAATACCACACATCATGAGAAATGACAAAAGGGATGAATTCAGAGAAACTTGGGAAGATGTTTATGAACTTATACAAAAGGAAGTAAGCAGAACCAAGAGAACAATTTATTAGTAACTGCAACCTTGCAAAGAAAAACAACCTCGAAAAATTTAAGAGCTGTGATTAGTGCAATGATTAGCTACAACTCCAGAGGACTGATGATGAAGTAACTAACATTTAGTAGCTATTTATAATCAATGCAATGAGCAGCCACAGCTTCGGATGAAGCATACTATCCATTTCCTGTCAGAGAAGTGAACTATTAATAGAATGTCACATACATTTTTGGACATAGCCAACCTGTGGATTGGTTTTACTTATTTGTCCATTTATAATGAAAGCTTTAGGGTTGTTGTTTTTTTTAAGAGGGGGGGCAGGCAGAGATAGTAATGCAAAAAAAAATCATTGAAGTATATTTTAACGCACAGAATAAAAGTTCAGAGACACAGACAAGCAGAACAACTTTGAAATTAACATGTTAGATATATACTTTTAAAAAACAAACTATATATAATAAAGATTCTTAATTTCACATATGATCCTCTTTTTTGTTTTGTGTATATACTTGTAAAAGTTAATGTTTATTGGTGTTTGTCAAGTTAAAAGTAGAAAAGTTAAAAGAGGAAAAAATTTTTTAATTTTTAAAATTTTTTTTAAAAAAAGGAAAATAGCCTCGGAACTGACCTGCTCCACCCAGGAAATGGAAGACATGTCTCAGGGAAACATGGGCACATGGTTCCCACACCAAATCCAAAGTCATTCTCATAGTAGTCTAACAAGAAAGTAATCAAAAAGAGTACCAGCGCTTATTAAATTTCCATTAGGCTCTGGGCATGTACTAATTTGCATGGCTGAGTTGATTACATCCTGTTTTAGAGAATCAAATATCCTTTCTACTCTCTGTGATTTGCCTCTGAGCATGAAAATAGTTCTAATCACAAAATTAGTGATATCAAATCTGACACGTGGCTGCTTTCTGCTTCATCCTTCTGCCTTACCTCTTTCAGTGGGAACATATATGATTTTTGAAAAGATCTGGCACACAGAAGAAATTATAATCAACAGAGTAACAAGCCAAATGGTCATGTGACTATGGAACTGCACAGGAGAATTCCACCTTGGAGAAAATTGGGCTCCTCAAGGCTGTAATGAAAAATAATTCCAAGCCAGGTGTGAAGCAGTTTCAGAGAGATCCTGACAAATGCTTAGGGTTTAGATCCTATCATGGAAAGAGAAAGCAAATTATTAAAATGATAAGTACTTTGGTTTGATGCTAAAAGCTAAAATTTATGTTTACCTTATCAGCTCTTCATTTCACAGGGATGGACAAAATCATTTTTGAATCCATACAGAATAAAGGATGGGAAGGAATATACTGACAACTATATGCCATATGGATCTCAATTTTCCAATTTAAGACTGTTTATATGCATCCTCTGGTTGAGAACCACGCAGTATTTTATTAGGAACTGAACAGAATTATTAATTCATACAGATGTATTAGTTAGCCTCTTCAGTTTATAGCTATTCAAGGCGTGGGGGAAAGATGTTGCAGGGGAGCAGGAGAAGTAGAAAATTATCAGAAAGCTTTTCTGAAGAGGAAAAACAAACATATTGGAATATTCAAAGTGTTTGCATATATGGAAGAGATCAAAAATGCCAATGAAAGAACAACGTTAAATCTAGGTGTCCATAAAATGATGCTATACAGAATGCAGCTACTGGCAGAAGACACCATCTGCTAATTTTATAATTATATATGTACATATTACATATGATATAAATATACTTTTAGAATACAAAAATACAATGTTTATTATATTTGCAGAGAAAAAAAATCTAGGTTGATTGTAGTTCAACCATTATTGAATAAAACAAATTTGTGAGAAGCATTTCGCAGTATTATACATTCATCCCTTGGCACTCTGTGGTAGCACATTAGATTTCCTGACCATGGAACCTTGAAATGATATCATTTCTTTGTTGGTGTTGCTTCCATGGTTCCATCAACATTATTATTCACCTGGGAGAAAGAGTTTAGAACTGTCAGGAAAAAGATGCAGCTCTGTAATACATATGCTTGGCCTCAAAAACCAAGTTGAAAACCAAGATAAAAAGTTGAAAATTAATTCAAAATAGGGGCAGATGGGTGCCACAGTGGATAGAGCATCGGCCTGGAGTCAGGAGGACCTGAGTTCAAATCTAGCTTCAGACATTTGACACACACTTACTAGATGTGCGATCCTGGGAAAGTCACTTAACCCTATTGCCTAGCCAAAAAAAAAAGAAAAAGAAAAAGAAAATTAATTCATAATAGACTCTGATACTGAATGTTCAGTGTCTAGATAGCAACAAGTGCAGGGAAATAAATAATAATTTCAGTTAACCAGCTTGGATAATGACACCAAAGTGGGTATAATTTTTTCATTGCCTACTGGTTCAAATTAACTAAATAATTTGACAGCATTCCATTTCCCTTTGGTCTAGATGAGCACATACTAAGTACCCATGATATCTCTCACATCAGGTCAGTCTAAAATTTAGAAAGGTAACAGGTTAGCAAAGGGTATATTTGCCATGGCTTTTGAGGTTGACTTTGATAGCCTTGCCCCATAGAACAGTGTTTCCTAATTCAAACAATACTGACCTTGAGTAAAACATGTAAATTCTCTACTACAGATTATTCTATTCTCTGCACACTCAATGTGGGGCACTCAGGAAGTGATACTGGATGAGACAGATGGAGGGAGTAAAGGGCTTAGGAAGAATAAGACATGGGGAGAAGAAGGAGGAGGAGGAAAAGTTAATAGCTTTCAAGAAATAAGGAACATTGATAGCAAAAATTTTACAGGTGAGTTATGAAAGAGGTAGAAGTAGAAAAGGCATGGAATTTGAAGTCAGAGGACCTAGGGTTGTATCCCAGCTCTGTCACTTACTGCCTGCATGACCTTGCACAAAGCATTGAAACTTTCTGGGACTGAGTTTCCTCATCTGTTAAAATGAAGAGGTTGGACTCAATGATCTCCAAGGTCTCTTCCAAATCTAAATCTATGATCCTGTGAAATAACAATTTTAAATCCAAGTACCAGTGAAACTCTAGACTAGTAGTTAGAGAACACAGCTACAACGGCTGCTTCATTCCTTCCCTCCCAAAGTGCCTATAAACACTAAGACAAATAAAGGTGCCAGCAGCTATGGCTATATTAAACTACCAGCTCAGCTTTCTCAAGCTATTGGTCAGAACTGCTGACTGAGAGGCCCTCTAGGAGAGTGGAAGCTGGGTGATGCAGTGGATAGGGTGCCAGGGCTGGAGTCAGGAAGACTCATCTTCCTGAGTTCAAATCTGGCCTCAGACACTTACTAGCTGTGTGACCCTGGGAAAGTCACTTAACTCTACACTTCAGATTCCTCATCTGTAAAATGAGCTGCAAAAGGAAATGGCAAAAACACTCTAGTACCATTGTTAAGAAAACCTCAAATGGGGTTACAAAGAGTCAGATATGTCTGAAAACAACTGAACAACAGTAACTAGAAGAATGAAAAGAGCACTGGATAGATTTGACTCATAGAATTGGCCTTATCAACACAACCTTGGACAAATATCCTCTCAGAGCCTCAGTTTCCTTAACTGAAAGATGAGAAGGTCAGAGTAGCTCTTCAATATCTTCCATCCATAAAATGTTATGATTTAGTCATAATGTTGCTTCTATAAAATGCAACTTGATTAAAATAACAGTATAAATTTTAATGGCTGATAATTAGCAACATTTGCATAACAAACTTCTACTGTGGAAAAAATTTTCAAGAAAACCAAGCACTAAATTAAGGACCTTCTCTCACTTAACTATCAGTTAGTCATGGGTTTCCTTGTTTCTTTGAGGAAAACTAACTTTTCCCTCATTTTTGTAAAGGCCTAGGGCCTTTGGCAGGCCCATAGCCTCCTGCTAAGTTGTTCATAGCCCTTTTCCAGTTGCTGTGGAGTCCTGGATGGCACACTCTTCTTATGCTGCTATGATTTTGCAATCTCTAGTTTCCCTCTCTTCTTTCTTTCCTGCTAATCTCAGAGAAGTCTTTAATCTGCCATCAGCTCCACCTACTATTTAAAAAAAATTCATTGATAACAGTCTATTACAACACAACAGCCCTACCTAGCAAACACTGAAACATCTCCGGAGACTAAGTGCACGACGTTATGTAAATCCCATCTACTATGTAAATAATTGTGACTGATAGGTATCTAAAATCCCTTCAGCTTTGCCCGGCTCATTCAGAATTTTTTTCAAGTGCATACTTTGTGATTTTGCTGTTAGTCTGCACAAAACTTGGTGGTAGATTTATTTTTCTTCAGTTGGGAAATAGTTTCCTTGGCAACCAAGTTATTCCTTTCTCCCAAATGATCACCTAAATATAAAAGTTACTTTGCACCAAATAGCTAAAGACTATCTTTTCATTAGCCTAGGAGTTCCCTTACTGGTCCCCTTTCCCTTAAGACTTTATAGCTCCAGGCCTGAGTCGTTGTTTTGGGGGTTTTTTTAAATTTAATTTATAGAAATCTATTTTCTCTCTCCTACCTACCCTATATCAGAAAAAAGAAAAACATAATGCTTCTAACAATGAGTTTGAGATTTCTTAAAGATGCCAAGCTTTTGTTTGTTTCTCTAAACATTTAAGGACATTAGAAGAGACAGAACAGTACAATGCTTTGCCCTAATCCCCATTGAAGGGAACATTTTCCTATTCCTTTACTAATTGTTATAGTTACATCAAATGATTCGATTTCAGAAAACTCATTCCCTGTCTCTCTGCAGGCCTGGTGCTGAATGAGTTCCTATCACATTCGAAGTTCCAAGCTGAGCTTGGATGGGGACTTGAGCCAATGACAATGAAAGTGGGGACAATGATGATGATGATGGCAGTGGTGATGATGATGATATGACAATGATGATAACTGGCATTTATGTAGAAATGGAAGGTTTGCAAATACACTACATGCATAATCACATTTGATCTTCTCAACAACTTTGTGAGATAAGGAAGGAAGGAAACAAGGGTTTATTAAGTGCCTAATGAATGCCAGGTATTGTGGTAAGTACTTTACAAATATGATCTCATTTGATTCTAACAACAACCCTAGGAGGTAGATACTATTATTATTACTTTACATTCGAGGAAACTGAAAAAGACAGCAATTAAGTATGTGTAAAACTGTATCTTGTTCTGATTCCCCCAACAACTCCCCCCTTTCTAGTCAGTATAGTAAGTTTATAAGTAGCCAGTATAAAGAAACAATAACAGGAAGTAAGATTGCAAAGGAGAACTTAGAAGTCACATACAAACCATCCCCAATACCAAAGGAGCATAATTTACAAATATATGTACCAAATATTAAAATTCACATCCTGAGAATATATGCTAAATCAAGGGAAGCCATCAAGGCCAGGCCTTGTTCCTCTGATATGTAAATCTAGACAAGTTCCAGACATCTGAACCCAAGGCTCTCTTGATTTGATGCCTAACATTCTTCCATTAAACTAAATATGATACCCCTGAGGTACACCCAAATGCCACAAAAGGAGCCTTAAAGATCACCTATCTGGACCAACTGCCTCATTTTTATTCACAAGGAAAACGAGGTGAGAAGAAGTAACGTGGTATATCCAACGTCATCAACCCACTAACAGAGCCAGGTCTCCTCACTCTTCATCCAGAGCTCTTTCACCTACACACCCCATTGAAATATACTAAGGAAACTTTATTGTAAGGAATTTATTGAAAATTTGCATAATCAGCCCCAAGTATATCTGATGGTAAATGTGGAATATAAGGGTTGTGTGTTTTTTTAATGGACCCCACATGGCTGACCCACTAAAACAAGAGGTGTACAAAATGGGGAATCTAAAAACAAAATGACCTGATGAGTACATGTATTGGATTCTTGGTGTTGAGAGTCTTGCCTCTATCTAGCAGCTCCAATAAGCAACCCCAGGAACTGGGGATTGGTAAAATACGCAGCTGGGGAAAGTCTGTCTCAGAATACAGTGCAACAAAAGAATGCTTAGGAGATTTCCATAATTCAACAATGCAACACAATAACCACTTGTTAATCACTTAGTAAGTGCAGGGCACTATATCATTAGTCTTGGACTTACGAAGTACAGTGGGATCATAGAATGAAAACTGGAACGGACCTTACAGGTCATCTAGTCCAAACCCTTCATT